TCATTTCCAGTTCAGAGAAAAACGGTATTAGTAATTAGATAGTATTTTACTGAATCTGTAGGTTGCCTTGGGTAGGATGGATATCTTGACAATATTGATTCTTCCAATCCATAAGCAAGGAATGATTTTCTATTTGTTTGTGCCATGTTTTATTTCTCTGAGCAGTGTTCTGTATTTCTTGTTGTAAAAATCTTGAGTAAATCTATTATTTTACTCAATTTTTTGTCTTCCCAATCTAGTCCTTATTCCCTGCAACCTCTAATTACCATGGCCTCCAGAGGGCTTCTCCCAAAACATAAGTCAGATCATATCATTCAAACCACTTCAATGGATTATGCTAAGCAAAAGCCAAAGGCCTCAAAATGCATCCAAACCCTGGGATTCTCAGCCCTCCATTTCCTTTTTGATATTGTTGTCTTTTCCACACTAAAGTCCCTTTTTACAAATACACTAATGTCCTTTCTGTTCCCTGAATACACTATGGAAGCTCTTGCCTTGTGGCCTTCCCATCTGGCTGTTCCCCCTGTCTGGAACTCATTCCCCAGATATGCACATAATTGTTTTTTGGTACTCTTTCACGTTCCCTCTTAAATTTTGCATTCACTATAATTACCAGGTTCAACTTCCCCTCAACAACTCACACTCTTTTTTTTTTTTTTTGAGTTGGAGTCTCACTCTGTCGCCCAGACTGGAGTGCAGTGGCCGCTTCCGGCCACCACAGCCTCAACCTGCTGGACTCCAGTGATCCTTCCGCCTCAGCCTTCCAAGTAGCCGGAATTACAGGCATGCACTACCACGCCTGGCTGATTTTTTTTATTTATTGTAGAGATGAGGTCTCACTGCCCAGGCGGGTCTCGAACCCGTGGGCTCAGGCAATCCACTCACCTCAGCCTCCCAAAGGCACAGGATTACAGGTTGGGCCACCGAGCCCGGCTCACAATTTTACTTTCAATTAAAAAATAAATTGTAGAAATATAAATAACAATATAAAAAAGGACCCTAATTTGAATTTTTACAAAATAAACACATACTTGTAACCAACACCCAGACTCAGAAATAAAAAATTAGTTTAGAGACCATTTTATGTTTATTATTATTATTTTTGAGTAGGAGTCTCACTCTGTCCAAGTAGCTGGAACTACAGGCACGTGCCACCAAGCCCGGCTAATTTTTGCAATTTATTGTAGAGACGAGGTCTCACCAAGGTCTCACCAAGAGGTCTCAGAAGACCAGGCTGGTCTTGAACTCCCGACCTCAGGCAATCCTCTCGTCTCAGCCTCCCAAAGTGCTGGAGTTATAGGCGGAGCCACTGTTCCCGACCTAGAAACCATTTTATTGCCGGCTCGGTGGCTCAGCCTGTAATCCCGTGCCTTTGGGAGGCTTAGGTGGGTGGATTGCCTGACTGTGCGGGTTCAAGACCCGCCAGGGCAACTTGGTGAGACCTCATCTCTACAATAAATTAAAATGAGCCGGGAGTGGTAGCATGCGCCTGTAGTTCCAGCTACTTGGAAGGCTGAGGCGGAAGGATCGCAGGAGCCCAGCAGGTCGAGGCTGTGGTGGCTGGGAGCGGCCACTGCACTCCAGTCTGGGCGACGGAGTGAGACTCCAAATCAAAAACATCAACAAAAAAATTGATTTTGTTGTAATTGGACCTAGTGTAGGAGTCAGTAAACTATGACCCTTGGCTTAAATCTGCCCTGTTTTTATACAGCCCACACCTACAACTGTTTTTGATGTTTTTAATAGGTTGTTAACTGCCCGCTGCTGCTTCTGTAGAGGGCGCTCCATGACGGTGTCCCTGAAAAGCCCACACAACCCCGGAAGTAGAAACAGACACCAAATGGCTGACAGAATGCAAGGCTGAGCTTAGGCTTTACAGGAAGCCTGTAAGACACTTGTGCTTGGCTTCTTGTTTTCTGCCACATGTCGCTGCATTTTAGTAACCTGGGCACAAATGCATGTTAACCTCAATTTCATGTTACAGGGACCTTGAATGAGGGGCATCATCAACCCATGGGCAGGGGGCTAGAAATCTTGTGCACACACGACTTGGAAAATTTAATGCCTCCGGTTTTCATTAAGAAGTTGGGGCCGGCTATTGCCTTGCTAAACTATGGTGTGACTGTGTGCTCTTTGAGCCATGGCTGTCACCACGCTTCCTGCCTTTGGCCCCCTCCCCCACCTTGGGAAGGGGAATCTTCTCTTTCTCTCTCTAGTTTACTTTTATTTTATTTATTTATTTATATTTATGTATTTTTTTGAGTTGGAGTCTCACTCTGTTGCCCAGACTGGAGTGCAGTGGCCGCTCCCAGCCACCGCAGCCGCGACCTGCGGGGCTCCGGCGATCCTTCCGTCTCAGCCTTCCGAGTAGCTGGAACTACAGGCGCGCGCTACCACCCCCAGCTAAGTTTTTGATTTATTGTGGAGATGCGGTCTCGCCAAGTTGCCCAGGTGGGTCTCGAACCCCCGGGCTCAGGCAATCCGCTCGCCTTGGTCTCCCAAAGTGCAGGATTACAGGCTGAGCCACCGAGCCCGGCTTAATTTACTTTTAAATAAACTATATTTTCTAATCTTAAAAAAAAGAAATTGGGGGCTGGGTGCAGTGGCCCAAGACTAGTCCCAGCACTTTGGGAGGCAGAGGGCAGAGGACTGCCTGCGCTCAGGAGTTTGAGACCAGCCTGGGCAACATGGCAAGACCTCTTCTCTCAATAAATCAGAAAGTTAGGCCAGGCATGGTGGCTCACGTCTGGTGAAAATTTTATTATACAGTAAGTTAACTATAGAACATGACTTCCCATCACCTAGCATAGTCCCTGCTACATAATCAGCACTCTCCAGCAAGTGACAATGGCATAAAACTCAACAGATAGTTTTATGAAGAGGCTCTTGAATAATTTGTTTCATTTTGCGGAAGGAAGTCATCTTTTTAAAACAAGTTTAGGGCCAGGCGCAGTGGCTCAAGGCGATAATCCCAGCACTTGGGAGGCCGAGGTGAGAGGATTGCCTGAGGTCAGGGGTTTGAGACCAGCCTGGGGAACTTGTTAAGACCTCATCTCTACAATAAATAAAAAAATAAGCTGGGCGTGGTAGTGCAAGCCTGTAGTTCCAGTTACTTGGAAGGCTGAGGCAGAAGGATTACCTGAACCCAGCAGGTCGAGGCTGTGGTGGCCGTGAGTGTGCCTGGGCGACAGAGTGAGACTCCAGTTCAAAAAGATGATGATAATGATGATGATGATAATAATAATAAAAGGCCGGGTTTGGTGGCTCAGCCTGTAATCCCAGCGCTTTGGAAGGCCGAGGTGAGTGGATTGCCTGAGCCCGCGGGTTCGAGACCTCATCTCTACAGTAAATCAAAAATTAGCCGGGTGTGGTAGTGAGCACCTGTAGTTCCAGCTACTTAGAAGGCTGAGGCGGAAGGATCGCCGGAGCCCAGCAGGTTGAGGCTGCGGTGGCTGGGAGCGTGCCACTGCATTCCAGTCTGGGCTACGGAGTGAGATTCCAACTCGAAAAAGAAATAAATAATAATAATAAAAAGAAGTTGGGAGTTCAGTTCATAAGGTAGTGTTTAATTTAACTGCTAGCAGTCATTATCCCTGCAAGGGCTATGCCTATGGCAACAAACTCATATATTACACTGTAGTTTTCTGCACTCTTTCATAATGAGAGCTATATTCATAAATTACTGACATTAAAATAAAACTAAGATGCTTTCCTAATTTGTAAGATAAAGAAGAATTAATTAGGCCGGGCTCGGTGGCTCAGCCTGTAATCCCGCGCCTTTGGGAGGCTGAGGTGAGTGGACTGCCTGAGCCCGCGGGTTCGAGACCTGCCTGGGCAACTTGGTGAGACCTCATCTCTACAATAAATCAAAATGAGCCGAGTATGGTAGCGCGCGCCTGTAGTTCCAGTTACTCGGAAGGCTGAGCTGGAAGGATCGCCGGAGCTCAGCAGTCGAGGCTGCGCTGGCCAGGAGCGGCCACTGTACTCCAGTCTGGGAGACAGAGTGAGATTCCAACTCAAAAAAAAAAAAAAAAAAAAAAAGATCTTTGCTCCAATACTTGGATATGTACAAGTTAGAGCAGTAATAAAGGGGAGAGGGACCAGTGGGCTGCTACTCAAGGGGGTCACCGGAAAGTCTTACTTACCACCTGGTGTTAAAGCAAGAAGACTGTTCCAGTGGCATTCTAGTCTCAGCATGGAAAGCCTTGGCTCCTCTGACATACTCACAAGGTATGCCAACAACTGCTTTTGCAACAGGAGTAGGGCCCATGAATGAGGGTTGGGTGAGAGTGGACAGTGGTTTGTAAGGGTTCCCAAGGTCCCACTATGCCTCATATCACTGTTAAGTCAGGGGGTGGGGGTTCTGAAATAAAAAATCCAAAGCGTTCACTGCTCTCAGTAGCCAGAAGGAAAGCATATTTTGTTCTCTCTGAAATGTGAACACTAAGATGGAGGAATAAACATTTATTGAGAGCTATTATATGCCAACACTGTGCTCTGGGGATACAAAGATGATTAAGACACTGTCCTAAAGGCTCAAACATGTCAATACAAAACCATGTGGTAGGTACCTTTTTAAAACCCAAGAAATACAGAATTATGAACACATCTGGCTCAGAGGGCTTAATGAAAAAAGAATTACGAACCTGCAAAATGACTGTTTTATTTTTGAAGACCACTGACGATATAAAGCTAAAACGAACACTATTACTGACTGTTACACTATCATTATATGCTACGACTAACATGCAAAATCCACATCCTTTGTTAATTCCTGGGAAAGACAGAATAAAAAGCATGAAATCCACACAGTGATCTCAATTTTAAAAACAGTATTTGAAACAAGCAGGTGGTTTAACCCTTGGGAAACAAGTGCAGCCAACTTACGGATGTGGTTTCATTTCTATGTAGTTCTTAGGAATGAAGCCGTCTTTTCCATTAAGCTCTGCCTTGTACCAATTCTGATCACATTCTTCATTCAAAACCTGAAAAGAAATGACAGGGGGAAAAATTAACCATTTTCTTTTCCCTTTAAAAGAGTAGCCATACAAAAACAAACAAAAAAACCAAAACAAAACAAAAAGAGTAGCTATAAGAAAATTATGCTGTCTTTTTTTTGAGTTCGAGTCTCACTCTGTAGCCCAGACTGGAGTGCAGTGGCCGCTCCCGGCCACCGCAGCCTCGACCTGCTGGGCTCCGGCGATCCTTCCGCCTCAGCCTTCCAAGTAGCTGAACTATAGACGCATGCTACCACGCCCGGCTCATTTTGATTTTTATGTAGAGATGAGGTCTCGCCAAGTTGCCCAGGCGGGTCTTGAACCCGCGGGCTCAGGCAATCCACTCACCTCAGCCTCCCAAGGCGCGGGATTACAGGCTGAGCCACCGAGCCCAGCTGATTAGCTTTCTTAAAAAAGAAAAAAAACTAGAGAGGTAACTCTGGAATATGGTGAACACATCGGAGAATGAAGGGAGTCTGACAAAGATGGAATAAGTCTGCTCTCTGGGAGGGAGAGGTGAGAAGCAACAGAGAACCTTTTAGACTTCTCCAGATCTTCAAGGCACCTCCAGAACCTACAGTGATCCACTCCTGGGATTCCCTCACAGCTTTTCGAGGTGATGGCAAGTATGGATCGCCCACCAAACTGCACCACAACACTGCTGCTTGTGAGAACAACCATATGCCCTTGCATGAAAAAGAATTTGAATAAAAAAAGGATGAGCCGGGCACAGTGGCTCACGCCCGTAATCCCAGCACTTTGGAAGGTGTAAGGATCTCCTGAGCCCAGCAGGCTGAGGCTGTGGTAGCCGTGAGCGTGCCACTGTACTCCAGCCTGAGCTACAGAGTGAGACTCCTATTCAAAACAAACAACAAAAACAAAACCAAATAAAAGTTATGTGAACGTGGTCTCGCTCAAAATCTTACTGTATGTAATCTTTTCAGACGCAGTTCACCACAGGTTACCAAAATCTTGAAGAGGGAAACTGCAGATAAGAGTGGGGGTCTACTGTATGAGGAGCGGAACAGAATAAGGTAGAGCATAGTATAAAAGCCTCCCTATTACCTCTAGACTTCTAAGAAAAGGCAAAGACATGAAGCCGGTATCTTAAAAGAGAAAACAGAAATGTGAGCACAACATCTAAGTGGTGAGCACAGGAAAATGCTGACTAGTACAGTGTAACCTACACTACATAACAAAGAAAAGAAAATGGGTAAAAATAGCTGGGCATAGTGGCTCACGCCTGTAATTCCAGCATTTTGGGAGGCAGAGGCGAGAGAACTGCCTGAGCCTATGGGTTTGAGACTAGCCTGGGCAACATAGTGAGACCTCGTCTCTACAATAAATAAAAAAAAATTAGCCAGGCGTGGTGGTGTGTGCCTTTAATTCCAGCTACTTAGAAGGCTGAAGTGAAAAGATTGCCTGAGCTCAGTAGGTGGAGGCGCGGTGGCTGTAAGCACGCCACTGCACTCCAGCCTGAGTGACAGAGTGAGGGTAAAAAAAAAGATTGTTTACAATATTATTTATTCAAGATGGTGAGCAATGCTGTACTTCCAGCCAATGAGAACCTGAATTGTTCTAAAGTGTCTGAGGTCTGTGTAGTGACATTCAAAGAGAGACACAACATTAGAAAGGGTAGATAGGACTGACAGATAACCAACAGCTAGCCAACCTGCACAAATGACTACTCTAGACTAATTCCCTTCTGAACAGAGGCTAAGCTCTGAGAAGTTTTACAACGCTGGAGCTCATCTGTGATGCTTGCCAATCTCTGGCCACAGGTGCCAGTTACTGGGTTCATGTAGTTATGATAAGGTGGCAAATCCTGTTAAGAGCAAATATTGGCTGAGGTGAGTGGACTGCCTGAGTCCGCGGGTTCGAGACCCGCCTGGGCAACTTGGTGAGACCTCATCTCTACAATAAATCAAAAAAATTAGC